AGAAGGGACTGTTCCCAGGAACGAGAGTCCCACCAAGCAAAAGTGGAGATAGCTCAAACAACACCAAAGATTGCCCCCCCATGACATTTAGTCAGCAAGCAAGTCAACTCCCTGATTTGACACACGACTGTTGTTGCCAACACAGTCGAAGACTCCTGTATGACCCACACATTTCTGACCCATCAAGAAATGATGCTTCAAATTAAGGATCAGACGAGCATATAATAATACACCACTCATCTTTCGATGTCTTATTATTTTATCCAACAATACCAACAATATAAATATTTAAAGCTTTGCGGTAAATAATGCCCTACTTCGGTCTCCTTGTATTCCTTTTATTGGAGGGAGGCAGCTACTAGTACTGTTGGAGCGGGTGGGAAAGAGGTTAATATTGTAGACAAAGCCTGAAATCCTACATCTTACATGTAGTTTGGCCTTACCACACCTACAGCACTTTGGATCCAATCATGCCTCTATCGATGCCGTTTATGCTTTAGATTAAAGAAAGGGTTGATCAATACATATGATCATGGAAGACGCAATGTTTATTCAGAGAAAAATAGCAAACATGAGGAACTGAGACAACTCGTGTGATCATTAATCATGCAACTAGCAAAGAATGGAAGTCACCAAATCAACACCATGGAATCACATAAAGAGGATAAGCAATCTAGCATAACCCAGAAGAAATAAGGTCAACTTTTAATGGATTTGTGTCATACCAACACATAGAGGTCCCCTTCCACCAAGTGACAAATCAAAGATAAAGGGAGCAGAAGCATACAGGTGATGGTGGTATCTCAGCTCAAAACATGTAGTGCAGGTTTTTTTGGTCACGATAGTGGGCCACTCACCCAGAAGCAATATCCTATAGTAGTGTAGCTCATATTGCTTCCTGACTTCATAGCACATCAAAAGGGTACTCAAACTAGCATTTGACTAGATTAAGATGGACCTACCACTTTCCCCATGAAGCGAGGAACCCCATGAAACAAAAGTGTTTAGCAGCAACTTTGGATGCTTAAAGAATCCCAGCATCTAATCATTTCAACTTAATGCACAATGGTTATTTCAGAATCTCATGTCCATATGAACAACCTTTAGAACAGCATATCAAACAATCAAAACATGTCGTTTTAGTTTGATACTATTAAACCAACATGCATATAAAATCCTTTCCCTTTCAGAAAGACTTCAAAGACAAGAGAGATTGGGAAATTACCACATCTTGAGTGGACTACTGTTGTAAGCATTTTTTGACCCTGCCTGAGTTCCACCAGGGTCCCCTGATACAGTTCAAAGGAACATCTCACAGGGCTTCTGCAGGTGTATAATTTCCCCTTTGAACATGGCTGCCTGCAAAGGTACTAGATAAGAAAGTTATAAAAGAGACACAAATGTTGTCACAGTCACCTATTGGTCAGCATGTGTACGTTCAGTCACAAAATAAGCAGAGATCTGTACAGTTTAGGTCACCAATTGGTTCATAACAGAATCAGCAGGCCCGAAACCAATCAGAGTAAGATTCTCTAAATATTCCATGAACCGTCCCAGAGCCCACATCGAGAGCCAAGCATCACATTGACATAACCCAATAGTGTCAGAACAACAACTTGAAAGTAGTCATGGCCAACCCAACATCATACAGTCCATCCTACACCCAGTTACATCATAGCTTGCAAAGATATGTTGACCCTTAGGATGCAAACGATTAGAGATCCCACTAGGAGAAATTATTCTGCAATACCCAAAGAAAAACAAATGCAGAGCCTAGATGTCGTTGATAAAGATCGCATGCTTACGAGTCATCTGTAGAACTGACGACTACATCCAGTACCAGTTCTGAAAATGACCTCAAAACATGATTGTTTAAAAATCATGATTTGAGACTGCTACTGAGTATTCCAAGATGACTGCAGACTTGTGAACTCAATTAACTGTTTATATGCAACCAATGTTGAGATTCAAGCAAACAGAAGTTACATAGTTTGTACTGTTGGGTAGTCATGAAAATCTAGAGTTTCAGAGTATGCATTCCAACTTTCTCGCACACCCATGCTTAGAGCCATTGGAAGCAACATATGAAAACAAGTGGGAAGATTAGGATATGGTGCAACCTTTGGTAGTCCAAACTTTACTCTTTGAAGGTCAACAGGCAAAACAGTTGCACCACTACAACCATAAGTGGGCATGCAATTATTGTGAGGTGATGCGCATCAAGGATGTTGTTGAACACAATGTCCAACATAATATGTCATAATTCATGCAACCACAACTGATATCCATGATAAGTGTTCAGATGCCTAGAATCTCCTCCATTTAGGAAGTTAAATGATTTTGAGTTGACATGGAATGTGAATGTTCATAAAGTGCGGTAAGTCTCAATATGAGAAGAGACATGAAAATCCAGTAGTGTTCCTGAAAATAGTTTGAAGAGATGTTTCCCTTGGTAGTGGTACAAATTATTGCTATTCAACCAAACAATGATAGGAGAAAGATTGAGGAATCCATTGACCACTGGAAGTAATGATTTGCATCCCCTCCAAGAGATAGCTCATCTTTCCAATATCTTATGCTTCTGTTCAAGCAATCATAGTGCATATCAATATCCAGAAGACTAGAACCTTTGAGAACACCAAGATGCATGGAAATAGTTAGCAAAGTTCTAGGTGTTGGCATTAAAACATGCCAAGTCTAAGCCCCAAACTTTATGACAGATTTGATTTCTTAACTAGTTAAGTACCTGTATTATATATATATATATATATATATATATATATATATATATATATATATGTTAATTATATCTCTCGATAATGATATAAAGCCAATCTAATCAAGTACTTGTATGCTTAATGTTCTGTGTTGTAGTAGGTTCACACAAAAACATTTAATAAATCATATACAAGTTAAATATCTCTTCAAGCTTATCAAACTTTATTCCCTAGTGCAAGACAAGTTCAAAAATAAAAATCACATACTTAATGCTACTTATGACAAAAAACAACAAGATCGATGTAGACAATTCAAAAAAGGTATTTAAATCTTGGTTCAGTACCAATTTCAACAACTGATAGGACTAGAACTTTATTGCTATACCACGAAATACACCAACCTAAACCACCTAATATCATTGAAAAAACGCAAAAATTAAATATCACGGTATCAACCAATATAGTCCGGCACTGGTTCATGGTTAGACAGGTAAATATGAGTTGGTACTGATCCAACTACTATTTAAACCTTGATTCTAAAAATAGGCTACTCTCACATGATTATCATTCAATTGCAATTATAATCCTATTAGTCTACCGAGTAGGTACTAGTGCAACCTCAATGCTTGACCAGTTCATGATTTGGGCAGTCTCAGCCAGTCAGCCCTGATAAGCTGGTCATAGCCAAAAAAAGGCACATTATATCGACTGGAATAAAAAATCTATCATGATCCACTCTGAATATCTTTTTAGGTACTTTTAGAATAATATCATTCTAATATCCTTGGAACTATAAATCAATGCGTATCAATTGAACTAGTAATTGAAACCTTCAGTCAATTAATAGGCTACTCTTACATGATTTTCATACAACGGTCTACTAAAAACTCTTACTCTACCAGGTAGGAGCTAGTGCAACCTTGGAGCTAGACCTATTCATGGGCTAGGCAGTCTCAGACCAACGGGCTGGTCATAGCCCAAAAAGACCCATTGAAATGAGCCTTAATGCTTGAAGTCCACAATTCCAGCCTGAGCAGATACATCAAACTAGTGTTTTTCTGAGTTACATCTCTGTAGTATAGTCACCATGACATACTGTTGTATAGTACTTACTATACCAATAACAACATACTCTATTCATCAGAATATAGGACCAGAACAATGAAATTGGGAGGGGCTACAAACTTAAGAAGGATCCAATGCAGCCAGTGTCAGCAAGCCTGCCAGGACTGAGCTTGGGGATCATAAGTATTGGACTAACCAGGTGGGCCAGGTCATAAGCAGAGCCCAGACCTTCTCGGCCAGTCAGGCTGCTCCAATGCAACCTAAGCAACATGTTCCATGTCATAGCCAGCCTCTTCAATTGAAGGCTACAAATATAACTCCTAGCAGAACATGCAGGATTAGGAACCTGTTGGACTATTTTGGTAGATCAAGAACATTTCACTACAAAAGTTTGACAAACTCAAAGCAGAAGAGGTTTTTCACAGTAAAGGCGCAAAGAGGTGGCCATTCAACTATTCAATAACAACAAAACCATAAGTCTCAACTTATTGAGAAGTTGGGCATTCAACTATAGTAGACTATATCAGTTACAGAAGATTTGTATACTATAACACAGATTGAGGAGTTGAAAACCCCAAAAAACATCAATCCAGTTCATTTTGGCATTTAAAATACCACAAAAACCAAACAGGGGCCATCAACATTTTCGGGAAGCTGAAAAAAAAATGCAAGTCCCCAAACCATGTTAGCCCTTGAGGTGCGCAATCCTTATCCCCTCTTCCTCTGTATCTATCTATATATCTATCTATCTATCTATTTCCCTCTACTAGTACAGCAACGTAACCTCACTTTTCTTCCACCAGTGGCTGATCCTAGCTCCACCACACACACATGGCTCATTTATTAGTCGAACTGTCACCACCTTTTTTTAAATAATTCCTTCACTAGCATAGGATTGTCACTCAAGTTCGAACCACTTTAGACCACTACTGCAATAGTTAAGCATGTTCTCTCTCTTCTTAAATACTTTTTTTTTTTAGAACTTCTGTCTTTGATCCAAGCGCAACAATAATCGCTGTAGATTTTGATGATTTTTCTTGATATTATTACTTATCTTTCTGAGGAAAATTAGTTGTCTAAGAACCAATCTTCCCTTTCTGCATTGACATGGAGACAGTTGGTAACCCCCTAAGGGCAAACATGCATATAACATAGAATTGAACCATCCAATGCAAAAGTGATGACAAGAACCAAGCCAAACCAAATATGCTCTGTTGGTTTCTTTGTTAATTTCAAATCTGTTTAGGAAAATTGAACATATCAGTTGTGCTTTCAGTTTAACTGTATACACAACCCAACCAAACTGTGCACCATTGAAATTATTTAGCTTCTTCTAGAAAAGATACAGTACCTACAAATGTTGGAACAAAGTAAAATTTTTAAATTAAAGAACTACATTCAAAGATCTGAGAGTTGTTCCTCGAATTTCAGCTGTAATCTGCAACAAGCAGATTGCTTGTCAAGTTCAAATGATAATAAAAAAATCACTGGCTAACCTATACAGCAGATTTAGAAGCCTGTATAATTTACATAAATGATGACAACATAATATAAAAAGCAAAGAAGTGTTTCACATACTGCATATTGTTCATCAAAAAATTCAGCTTTGTATTGAAGAGGTATCATCAACTGCCCAAGCTATTAGATGAAAAAAAACTCAGACGAATGTAGCAGAGATATATGAGCCAATGACAAACTTCTGACATGAGCAAGAAGATAGAAACAAAACCAAAGGATAGAAAGAAGAGAAGCAAAACAAAGAAAGCTGAGATATATATAAATATATATCAAGAAATATGCCTGTTAAAAAGGATAATAACTCATCTTTCCTATAAATGCTTCCTCTTTCTTTTTGGTTTGCACAGTTTCTTCTGGAAAAGCAAAGGCTTAAACAGACTCTTAAAAGGCAAAGGATAAGCTGGATAAGATAACCTTTCCCTATGGTTTCCTCTTCCTGCAAGCAACCAAGAATAACTCATATAACAAAATTTTCAAAAAGCTTCTGACAATGAAAACTACAAGAGACTATTTGCAAAAGCAACTAATACCATCTGACTCCATGTATGTAACCAACAAACATGTAGGTCAAATATGCTGTGAAATTTGCATTCATGATCTAAAACATGGTTGAATTTTATCACAATTACTGTAGGACACAAGAACCAGTAATCCCCAAACACAAAAAGCAAAATCCAAATATCTCAATAAAACCCAAAATTAATTCTAGAACTAGTTGACTAGAAACAGAAAATTATCCTACTATCCTAGAACCCTAATTTACAACAAATAATTCAATAAAAATCATATCAATGAAAGAAAATTAAATCTTCAAACAAATAATCATATGGTTAGGTTAGGCTTTAAGACTATCTAAATTGTTTCGCAAATTTCGTGTACTGGTATTGTCAGTCAGAGCAGTGTCCGTATGTGTATGTATTGAGGCTCCGAAAAAGAACCTAAAAAGGCTTAAAAAACAAAAAATAGAAACAGCTTGGTACATAGCTTATACTGCCAATTATCAGGGAGTAATGGCCCTGTAACAGGCATACTAGGTGGTACACTTGGGTACAAGTCTGGTGCTAGGCACTTGTGCCATACTCTACTGGGCCATACTGCAAACTATTCAAAATAAGTTTGATGATTTTCAGATCCAAGATTTTCTAGTGAGTAGTGGGACAGCAGATTTTCAAACCTTATGTAGAAAGGACAGACAGCAGATGTCACCCTTAAACCTACAAGGATCAAACAACAAATAATCTGGACACACAGCAAGTCAGACACCATCAAGAAATCGCAACAAAAGTTAATGGGTTTTTAGGGATCACCGGACCAAAATATACAAAATAGAATACAGAAAAAAAGGAAAGTACAACAGTGAAGGAGAAAACCTGAGAAAGTGTTTCTGCCTCCCTTGTCTCATAGCATTTAAGCACACACACACACACACAAATATATATATAGGGCACAAGGCTTATCTCTATCCACCAAATATAAGTGCATAAATACTATGCTATGTCACAGTAAACAGGACTACCGACATGGATGGGTTAATCAGGCTTATTGCACTTGGCACGCTTGATATTGAAGCATGATTATCTTACATGCCAGCGCATGTATGTAAACCAACAAATGACCATGCATTACATCCTAGCAAACATCATAAACAAGAACCCTAGCAATGCAGACATTCATGGATCCAACAAGCATCATACAACTCCAATGTTCAAAAGACATGTGCATGCTATAGCATACTTCAGTACTTAATAGAAATGGTTTAACCGTCACCAAGGCTTGGCTTGACCATAGGCATGTCAATGGGCAAGATTGGCAAGGCAAAGGAAAATAAAGTTGTGCTGCTTAATAGGAAAAAAAGGAAATAATTGAGAATTAGAAGATGAAACATTTAATTTTACATATGTAAGCTATTGATTCATCCTTTTTTTCTGTACAAACTCAACCAAGCTACAATGATAGTTTAGGTAGCCATATAAATGACAGGGAAATCATATTGATCGCAGTACCTGATTTAGTTTCTGACTTCTGGATCTCATCTTTGACCACAGTTGTGTTTTTCTCTACTAGAGCATCAATTTTAAAAAAAGGAACTCCTTCCTTCTGCTCTTTGGTCTCCTTTAAAGCACCTTTTGATAGAATATCCTCTCCTGATGATATTAAGCTTGCTCCTATGTTACTTGATACAGGTTGTATAAGACACTTCTGCAGAGTCATGCAATGATCACCGTGACGTTTCTGCTCTTGCTCAACTATTTTTGGTATATCCTTTTTCACCACTACATCAGCAAAAAAATGCCCTTCATCATCCACTGACATCTGATCACCTGCAACATCAGGAATGCACTCCACAAACTCTGCAGCATCATTTGAAGTCTCAATGGCATGGTTATAAAACTGATCTGAACTTTTCTGAACCTCCACAAGCATATTAGATGGTTTCTTTTCCGTGACAGCAGAGGATGTTTGATCAGCATTTGATAGTAGAAGATCATCATTATAAGTGTAGTTGCTAGCCTTTGATACTGCAGTGGCTGAAGGCAACGTACCAGTATGAGAAACCATACATTCATCTGAAATTTTTAGGCGTTCACTGAGCTCAAAAGATTGGCAAGATTCCTTAGAATCAGCAAGTACTGTTGCCATATCATCTGGGGAAACTAGAACATCTTCACAGGCAGGCTTCTGTTGACTTAGAGTTGTCGGAGTCATAGATATCTTGTTTAACAATGAACTTTCATCAATAGCAACTTGATCTGTTGCATCATCAGCAACAGCAGCAGGAATTTCATTGGGAGCAGTAGGTGACCCAAATGTCTTGATTGATGACGTCAATGCAGCATTTTCACCAAATAAAAATGGTGATTCACTGAATATAGATGTGAAATCAATTGAATTTGAGCTAAAAGGCGGTTTGCTAGTAGAAGAGAACATTTTTGGGATATTATCCAATGATGGCAAATCACCGTTCCCACTAGATAGAGGATCCCATTCATTCCAGTCATCAAACCAAAATCTTTTTGAGTTGGATTGTTCATCCGGTAAGATTCTTTCGATTCTAATAGTTTCCTTGTAAAAATGCTTCTTCCTTAGAGCATTAGCTACCAGTGACCTGTTAATGAAACAAACAACATAAAACAACAAACATATGCAATATATATTACATAAGATGCATAAGAAGTTTCAGCCATTTAAAAGAGAGGATTAATCAACCTGCAATTTCCCGAAATAGCAGCTTTAGCTCGCTCCAAAGACAGACCAAGCAAAAATACTGCCAGGTTGGCAACGTCATATGGCCCTCTAACATCATTAACAGTAGAAGCAGCACTTGAAAAGATGAGATTCTTTCCTCTGGTCCAGTCAGCTAGTAGCTATAAATCCAAAAGTGAACATGTTATGCATGAAATCTATGTTTTAGAATACAACCAGCTAAAAGACTAGATGAGCCACTGTGAGAGAAGCTTAATCTAGCAAACATGCCAATTATGAAACAGATTTAGTCTTGATGTCTGGAGAGATTACAACAGACAACATCTCCAAAGCATAAAGCTTAACCATATGTCACCACAATCTTTCAAGACCAGTAACCATATGACATCGGACTCAAAAGTTATTCTTCCTTCCAAAATTCATTTGACCCCCTCTGCTATCCCAGTTGTCCTTCCGTTTCTTTAAACCTTTTCTCATTCTTGCGAGCAGACATAAAGTTGTATTTGTGCATTACTAATTTATCAACTCTGTTAAAATTCGTCAGAACACCCACTTTCTAGGTACTTCCTCACTCTAAATTCCTTCTTTAAAAATAGTTCCAGACATGCACTGTAGTGGCTTTAGATAACTAAGTTTTATACTGGAAATGTTATAATGATATGGACACATGATTCTGATCTAAAATCCTAGTTGTTTGTCCAACTTAATATCAAAGAAAGATAATTAAAATAATTTACATACTTAAAATTCAATATTCCGAGAGAATGACAAGCAGCAGAAGTTCATAAGAGGCCCAAATAACAAAAAGATCCACTTCTAGTAGCATGATATCAGATGATATGTAAGATTTATAATCAAAAAGGCTAATGAGCATTTTACCCATTCATATGTGTTGGATACATGGATTCGTGTAACCTTTCATGAGGGTGGATGTGAGTGATAAGGTATTCCTGGATACTTACTATTGCTAGTAATAGAAAATAATAACAGCATGTGACATTTAGCAAGCAATACTTAATTCTTTTACAAGAGACTACAACAAATTCTCTGACCATCAGCATTAGTAGGATAAGCATGCTATCACTGGTTATACGTCTTAAGATTTCATAGGATAAACAATATATCTGTCATTGCGTCTTAAGAAAAAAAATATTTAGGAGCAAAGCCAAATAAAGCAGCAGATAAAGGTACTTCATTCCTATTTCAGAGCACTTTTTCATGAAAGACAGTGGAACATATACTTAAATAATATCATAAAAACTGAAGGTTATGGCTTCAAATTGTATACTAGAAGACCTTGCATCTAAGACCTAAAAATAGAAGTATATTCTAGACTATTTGTCCTTCCTAATTACATCATCAGGATTAGTATTTGTTCTAAAGTACACTTAATCACATTGCAGGTAAAAGCTAACCTCAAGAACGATCTTTCTCATGGGCCCAAGTATGACATAACTAAAATTTTGCACATACAATACATGTGATTGATGAGAAGGGACCACTGACTCCACACAAAATCTACGAAGCACAAACACTTCAAAACATTTGTTTTGTTCGTGTTGGACACCAGCATATGTTGGATACCTCTTAAAAATGTTGGGAATTTCAGAACATAATAATGCACATTTATCTCACACAATTATGTTAATAGGCTACATGTACATAGGTCTACATAATCTACAGGAGACTTCAAGACATGTCAGATATGTGTGGGTGTGTGTGTGTGTGATTTGAACTTTTAACTTAGTGTTTTCTAGTTTGCACATGCCATTAAAGTATCTTGTGAATGCTTGCTACTCATCTATGCTCGTGATGCGTGTGTGTGTGTGTGTGTGTGTGTGATTTGAACTTTTAACTTAGTGTTTTCTAGTTTGCACATGCCATTAAAGTATCTTGTGAATGCTTGCTACTCATCTATGCTTGTGATGCTTCTTACATACTTCATAGATGATGATTATTGACTTGACCAAACTATACAATGAATAAAGTTATCATAATGAATGAGGGATCAAGCCATATCAATCTCAGAGTCCATGCCATGCCGTAAAATAGTCTGGTCAATAATTAAAGATGCCCAAAGATGCTAGTATAGGAGTCAAAGACAGTCTAATCAAACACATGATTATATGAAATCTAAAAGAAGACCATCTTGACTCTTGAGTTTGAAAAATTAAGAACAAACACAATGTTTTCTAGTTTATATATTCAAGTGTTGTTAACACAAAAGACCATATAAATATTCTCTCCAATAAAACTCTCATGTTGAGTTACAGATGTCTAGATGCTCAATTCTAGCTTCAACATATTGCATCACAATCTATAATTTATTTAAAAAAGTTATATTTATATGACACCAATATATTGGGAGTTCACACCTATCAATAGGCCTCAAATGACAAATCTTAAGCCAACACAACAAAATGGTACTTTAGCCTGATTGGAGACAGTCAACAGTCTCATGGCCTCATGGCTAACAGTTGCAAGCAAAGGGACGCCACTCCCAACAGATAGTAATCCAATCGCAATGATGGGTTTTCAATATAATATTTTGCAGATCAATCCCAAATCTCAGAGGTTGATGTTCCATAGAGCAATTGATAGCATCCATGTGATGGGTGGTAGAGATTCTAGAGAAAATCTTATTTTCACTACTAGATCTGCAAATAATCACCTTCTTCTTCTCTCCACACGTCTTTTTGGTTTCCTTAGAACCATAGAGGACTCTTGTTCGGCACACAACGTAAGTGCCTCCTGATGAAGGAAGCATGATGATTGTGCAGAGATATTGGTGAAGGAAGAGAAGTGTTGCAACAAATGAAACAATACAGAGGAAGAAGAAACTGTGTCTAGGAGAAACAGACGAGAAAATTTACTTAATTTTAATACAAATCATATAGTAGTTCCTTTTCTAAAGGCCGGTACAGCTCAAACATGCATTGATTAATTTCTTATAAAGGACCCAAAGAGCAAATGAAACAGCCACGGAGTTATTGTTCAAATCACTATAGTACTTATTGTTTAAGCTACAGTAGCATAAACAGAAACATTATGTGAAAAGCAACCAAGGTTTCTTTCTTACCTTTGCCTCCCTAGTAATCCAAAATTCAACAAATCTGGACCTTTTCTCAACCTTAAACTAAAGAAAGAAACATCTTAATCAAACACCATCACTTAGACTCTTTACCTAAAAACATAAAAAGAAGAATATCCCAACTAATTCTCTATAGATACAAATAAATATTTGTAAAATTAAATGACACAATTACTCTTCAACCAGATAAAAATAGAAGAAACCTAAATTTAGTGCTCTGCTCTCAACAAAAACAAAATCCAGATTCTAATTAGACATATACTCAAACCTTGGTTAGACCACAAATATATATGGGTAAAAACAAAAGAGAGAAAATAAGTCACATATTCAGTCTATCCATAAGAGAACAAGTTAAAGCTTGAGAACTGAATTACAGAACCAAGAGTAAGAGAACAAAGAACATATTGCACGACACTTGGTTTAAAGGAAATAGGTATCCTTCAAATTCACAATAGAATACACTAAACATAAACCCACCAACAGATGCCTGTAAAGTAAACAAATAGCACAGCTCAAGTTAGTTTCTCAAATAAGCAGAGAAAAATTACTAATTCACCTTGGCATCTGATAGGATTTGCCTCCTAACATGAACATCAGCTATAAGGTGAGAATAGGTAATTTCAAAATATAATCCACGCTGCAAAAAAAAATTTCAAAATGAGATATAAGCAAAAAAAATATGCAGATATGACCAGACAATCAGGAATTATAACGAGATAAAAGAACCGATGCATGCAGCATACTCACTTACAGCACCTGAATAGCAAGCTTAATGAACGGAAGCTTCAGACGGAAGGGAAGTTTTTGAGAAAAATCCATTGCAATTATATCAACCTGATTAACATTTTCATAACAAGTAAATTCATTTGAACCTCAGATCTCAACCAAAACTATGAAATAATTCTATGAAAAATATATAGGTTGAAAGATAAAAAGACCATCATCAACAAAATTTGCAACACAGGATTACAAAAGTCAGAAGCACCAGAAGAATAGGCACTAAGTTACATGGAACAAGAATATGTACCAATTTATAAACTTTTAGAAAACGATTCTTATTAGGAGTTTGTATATATTCTTTTAGTTGTAGGACTGAATCAAATAAATGACAGTCTAATAAATGTATATGATGCTTCTGCAATTGTGCTTCATGATTGCCACTCAATGTACTCAATAGATGAAAGCAATGAATTATCTTTTGGCTTGGAAGCCTCTTATGAGGTAAAAGAAACCAGAAAACTATCCTCTGGTAATAACCAATAATGGCATTCAAGGAAGTAATTTTAGAAGGTTAATTGATTGTTTGAAATGTGAAGCAAAGAACTTTATCACGAAGAATTATGTTGCTTCATCACCTCGGAAAAAGAGGACTAACACTACACAACATATGGCTATTCTCAGATTTGCTTTCATTCTTAGCACCCCAACGGCACTGCCCTTCGTATATGAGCATTTATGTGCCCGTGTCTTCCAAGCAATGAGATTAATCATACTGATTCATCATCTAAGTAATTCGTTCTTGAATTCGGCAACCATCGTCCTCTTTGGCATCTGGCAAACATCACGATTTTCTAAAGAAATCCAAATTAATCTGATTCTAAGGTGCAATTTACGGCTGAACCCAAATCGCTTCTAGAAAATACAAAATTAGTGCATAAGGTTATGAACGCCAAAGACAAAACTGGAATTCAATTGCACCTCGGAGGACTCGCAGGCCTTGTCGAAGGCGTCCTGGTTCAGAGGGCGCAGGGCAACTAGGTCGTAGGTCCTTAGTAGGGCGTTGCCATTGAGGGCAACGGCGGAGGCGGCGCAGTGGGCGGAGATGGTCAAGCGGGTGTACTGGCGAAAGGGGGAGGCGAGGGGAGCGCCGAGGAGGTCGCGGTGGAAGGCGGCGGAGGCTGCGAGGGCGGGGGCGGCCTTGAGGAGGGAGGAAAGGGGGAAAGGGGCGATCTTGCAGCGATCAGCGTCGGACAGGACGCCGCGGAAGGGGCGGTCGTAGGCGACGCCGGCGTAGCCGAGCTCCATGGCCCTCACCACCGCCCTCAGCCGCGCGTCCTTCCGCGCCTTGTTCTCCGACGAGGCGCCACCTCCGCCGCCCCCGCCGCTGTCCCGCTCGAGGAAGGGGATGCTAAAATCGAAGAAAAGGGTCATGTCCAAGACGGGCCGCGGGCGAGCGCAAAACAAGTCGGCGAACAGAGGGTTTCAATGTCACGTCTCAAAAGGGCAGTCGTTTGAAATATGTTTATAGCACGAATTGATTGCCCACTCCGATTCCCAGCGGGATCAAAACGTTTCATGATCCGACTTAGGTCACGACTTTGTTCCCCACCAGGATAAGCCGATAAGGAGGCGCCCATCCTCTTTCCCACCCTCGTTCGTAACATAAGTCGCTGAGTGTTTGTTGAGGAAGCGGACAGACTTCTATCCCGAACTCCCATCTAACCTACATAAATAAATATATATATATATATATATCTTTATATATGATATAATGGTCTTCCAAATCTACAAAAACATATTTTATTTTTATTTGAGTAATTTTCCATAAATAAATCTATTTTTTAAAACATTTTTCTAGGGAGGTACCCCTTTCATATTTTTGAAATGGCGCCATCATTTATTGTAATTTTTGAAATATACTTGTAATTAGATAATTGAAGCAATACCTATTGATTTTAATTCCTTAATAATAATACTTGTAAATAGAGTTGTAGTTTTTTTTTTTGAGATCTCAAAATCTCTCTATTTGGTTGTTTTTAATCCTAAATAAATAAATATACCTATTTGAAATCTTATGTTTATGTATGCGGTGGTTTTTGTTAGGTTTTAAGTCTATTTGTCTATTTTTAAATAGACATTTATTATTTTTTGGATGTAGAAAAAATAATATAAGCCTATTTATAATTATCCTTATTTGATTATTTTTGTTTGGCAATAATATGTTTTTTAAAAAAATATTTTTATATATGAGTTGGTTTTTGTTTGATTTTAAGTTCATTTGCTTCTGTGTTTTTGTAAGATTGTTTTGTTTTGGTGTAGATGTAAAAATCATTGTAAGTGTACATAAAAATATTATAACTAACATAAAATTCTTCCCATTTAGTTGTTTTTTTCCTAAACCGATAATAAGACATATTTTTATTTTTTATTTTTTGAGATGAGCTAATTTCTATTATGTTTTGAATAAATTTACCTTAGTTATTATGTTTTGATGGAGGCATCAAAAATGCTATAAGCATGTTCAAAAATACTATAAATGAATCGAGGATTGAATACTAAGCATATCAAAGATTAAATTATACAAATCTTATACATTATGATTGAATTCATTAATCCTATGGACCGAGTTTTATCATGTGTTGCTTCAATTATCTTGTCATGAAACATTTCTAACATTATAAAAAATAGCGAATGTTATTTGAGAAATATCTAAAACAATATCCTCAAGTGAAAACTAAAAAAAATCTCGACAATTCATCCCCCTTTTTTTTCTTGTGCACATTTTAATCATAGAGATGAATTTTGTAAGGTACAACTCGATTTTGAGCTAAACTATGTCTATAAATATATTTTTTACGAGTGACAACGAGTAAATAAATCTTATTACTGCTGATAGTTTTGATATTGTTTTTATATTTTCCAACATGCCCACGAGAAATATTAGATCCTTCACATGGTCTCATCGATTCTAAGTGTCATGCAAGATTGAGTTCATCTACGTGGAAATGCATATGTAGACATCAGTCACAATGTTATAATTAAGAGACGAGTCCTATCAAAGATGATATAAGTGAAGTATTTCGATTAAATCCTTATAATGAAATTATAATATAGTTGTTGGTGAACTGATGCACCGTGGCCGATGAGTTAGTACGACTTAGTCTATGAGTCGATGTCGAGAGTCTACGATCGGTTGAATAGGGCACCGGGGTTGATCACACCTGCGAGTTGGGATGCTGAGTCCGTCTGAGGGAGGGCGCCTCTCGATCGGGATGATCGCGCTTCCAAGTCGACCGTGCTCTTGCACAGAAGGCCCTCGTCGGGTGGTTCCTGACTTTGACTTCTCGACGATTAAGTTAGTGCTTGATTCTTTCTTTTTTTTTCGCCACCCCCGGCCAAATGCCAGTCATGAGCTCTTTATACTACTGTGCGAGGATTGATTGTTAGAATTTTAAGAGTCACACATGTATAATTAAATGTGTTAATTCATTATTTTGGATCTATAAAGTATGTTTTTGAATCAAGATGAAGGTTTTGATTCTATAAAATAATTGTTTTATCCATATTTGATATGTTAAAAGAACCCCAACAAGTGGTATCAGAGCCATCCTACGATGATTGATGAACATTTAAGTTTTTTTCTCATGAATTTTAATGATGTTTTCATCAATATTTTAAAGTAATTTGGTTCTATCATCGTTGGGAAAGATGATAGTTTTATGTAATCATGCTATTTTGAAGTGATTTGGTTCTATTATCGTTGGAAAAGATTATGGTTTTATGTAATCATGCTACAGTATGCTTCACATTCAATTCAGTGCCTTTTTCTGATATCAGTTTAATTTTGGATTATCTTTTCCACTTCGTGTCTTTTCCTATTCATCAATATGTAAAAATTCATTTTTGCACTACAAGGCATAAATTTCTCAAATTCTTTTTGGATTTTATCTAATTAATATGAATTTAATTAATTAGATATTGTTGCAATATTATGTTGGTTTAATAATATTGTTGCAATATTATGTTGGATTAAATATAATATTGGTTCTATAAAGTTGTTTGTTGACATAAATTGAATGATTTACATGCTTTAAATATTTTAGTCAAATCAAACCAATTTGACTAATATGGTACAAATTCAATTAGTGATTGTTTAATATTAGATTGAGTAATTTAATATATGAAGTCGTCAAAGTGACCTCTCATATATAACATTTCTCGTGAAAATATTAAATGTAGTATGTATTTACATCCATGCGGTAATTATCCGGCCCAAAGGAAGGTTAATGACTGGCAGGATTTTATACATACTTGTAATGGTAATACGTGATAATTATAAAGTTATACATGTAAATGATAAATCAATCCAAAGATCGGTTTTTCATTTGACATGCCTTATTATCAGTATTTGATCATTACAATAAGACTACCACTAGCAATTAATATTAAAGTCCAAAGACAAGATATTAATATTGCACTTGGTATCTTGAGATAGGTTATATCATTATTTGAATTTACTTAAGTTTATGGTAATAAATATGAGCATAATTTCTGTTATCTGTTGTTATCTTATTTAGATTCTCTTATAAAAATATCTGCTAACCTCAATCCAGTATTGGTTTTAAACGAAACCAACTTTAAGGGCAAGAAAAAAAAAACACAAATGTGGAAAGAATGAGGCTGATAAGGGTCCAGTACAGAAGAAACAAAATAAAGATGATACTTGTTTCTTCTGTAAGAAATCTGGGCATTTAAAGAAGGACTGTGCTAAATATCATGCTTGGCATGCTAAAAGGGGAACATTCCTTACTTTGGTTTGTTCAGAAGTCAATTTAACTTCAGTACCTAGAAACACTTGGTGGTTAGACTCCGGTGCAACAACTAAAATCAGTGTATCAATGCAAGGTTGCCTAAGCTACTGAAGGCCCAATAATGCTGAGAGATGTATTTATGTGAGAGACAAAAAATTGATAGATGTGGAAGCTATAGGCACATTTAGATTGTTATTGTGTACCGGACATTATTTGAATTTAAAAGATACTTTTATTGTACCATCATTTAGATGGAACTTAATTTTTGTTTCTTATTTGGACAAATCTGGTTATTCTTGTTCATTTGGAAACAATCAGTTTACTTTGTCTTTAAATTCAAATATGATTGGAACTGGTTCACTTATGACTTATGACAATCTATATTTACTTGATACTATAGCTTCCTATCATGAATCCATGAATGCGGAATTGCGAGGTACCAAACATGGTTGTGAAAGAAAGGGTACAAAGTAAATAAATTTCTATAGAACACTTAGGAACAAACTTTATGTTCACATATCCTCTCACAAAAGATGTACCACTCAAGTTTTTTTTTTTATGAGCATACTGCTCATATGGGTATATCAGAATTTGAGAAAACTTCAGTTTAGTAGGAGCATGTCATATGTTTGTTGTATGTTCTATACCAGATTATGTATTTGTACAGACAATTTCTGATCAGAAATAAAGCTTCAATTTAAAGATAAAGCTGGACCAGTTGAAAATTGACATGTACAGATCACATTCATGTAATTTTTATGCTACACATTTCATAATTGATCTATGTCATTTGGTTATGTTAATATTAGTGATCATTAATGAGTTTAGCCATGATTGATATAGCAAAAATCGCTTTGGTCCTATATTAATATGGTCAATGGACGAGATTGTTTTGTATGTCCTGTTTAATAATGGCAATAGTTTTTGAGCTCATAAAGAATATCACATTTATAAGGATACATATGTGACTTAGTGGGAGATTGTTAGAATTTTAAGAGTCACACATGTATAATTAAATGTGTTAAGTCATTATTTTGATTAGCCAAAATTAAAGTGATCTAATTAAAGTAAAGTTATTTGGCTAAGGGACATAATTGTTATGAAAATTAATTGTGTGGATACCACCAGTCATATTCCTAACTTAATGACGAGATAAGTTAGGAATATGAAACTCTTAAGACATAATTGTAGATTCATCAATTATGAATACAATCATAATTGTAGATTCATCGGTTATGACTATAAATAAAGTTATGGTCCCCGATTGTAGTATCGAATGAAGTTTCTCTTCACCCGTCAAAGAGAAATCTAAAGTTCAAAAGATACTCTGCAATTGGAAGACCAAATCACTGATCAATTCAGAAAATACTCTAATGGATTCATCAAGTACGCTTCCGTGTTAATATGTTTATTAATTGTTATAGGATTTCATACATATTATAGTGGATTTAAATAAGTTTTATGTAAATATTCTTAATTTATTATTTTGGATCTATAAAGTATGTTTTTGAATCAAGACGAAGGTTTTGATTCTATAAAACAATTGTTTGATCTATATTTGATATGTTAAAAGAACCCCAACATCGATCGTATGCGGGTTTGGCGTGACGATCGATTCCCAAAAGGTGAGGTGATACATGTGTGCGACCGCCGTCCCGGAATGCATGGAACGATGCCATACGACG